GGTTTTGGCGCTGTCTTCCTACAGGAGGAGGCAGGACGACAGCGCCATCTGCTTTCTGACTTTCTCAGGACAGTATCGCAGGTGTGGGAAAGTAAAAAAGCCCCCTCGTCCTGGTTCATACACAAAGCAGAACAGGAACAACTCAATTTGGCCATTTCTGACCACTGTAAAAGAAAGAACTACATTGTGGACTGGGACGGAGCAAACATCATTAAGACAGAGGAAAACAAACACGGTCGCTTGTTTAAAGAGGCAATCGAAATACGAAAACGTGCCCATAGGACTATAAACAGGGACGAGGGGCTTTTTTACTCTCACACACCTGGGATACTGTCCTGAGAAAGTCGGACTGCAGGTGGCGATGTCGTCCTGCCTCCACCGGTAGGAAGACAGAGCCAAAACCTGTATAAATCAACTGTCACAGCAACATCATGTGACTCTGAGGAAGACCTCTAGTGAGCAGTCCAAACTGTCAGATATGAAAGCAAAGTATTGGTCTCAAAAAAGAACCTAATAACATAATAAGCTCTACCTTAGATTTATTCAATTACATGGTTTTACAGCTCAAAAATACCCAGAAAAACACATTCTGACTGTGAGCAGGGTTGTCTCTCCAGAAATATGACTGGGTAACTTGATCTGGCTGATGATATAAAGGTTTAATACTATATAGTGAAACATCCAAGACAAAGAATTTGACAGACACTCTAGCAGAAAAGTACACAGTGCACATTTAAGGCTTGAAAATGTTGAATTTGTGCTGAAATTTTAACTTAAGTGTCAAAGCGCCTGAAAAAAATTAACTAAAATGCTAACAGCCAATGCATTTAAGTATTTAACAGATAATATTTCATCATTTCCTTTAAATGTAGATCCTCTCTCCACTGCTTTATCATTCAGGTCATCTTCCTTCACTTACTCTCAGTTGGGTGACATTCTGACCTTAATATGAAGCGGCCATGACAGAATGCATAAAGCTGGGAGAATTACAACTCGGGCACGCTAATTGAGCCCATCTGTGCTCTGCAGTTCATTTATTTTACAGCGAAGTAAGAAGAATGGAGAATTAGCTGAGGAGCTCGCCCAGATAACCCACGCTGCCTCCACAACACCTCGGGGTCAAAACGTGAACTGAGTCGACTTTCACTCATACAGAAAACAGGCTGTGTTCACATGACGTCATTCATTCTAAACTGTCAGTCTTGTTGGGATAATCTCACTATTTTAAGACGCCTTCATTTGTTCTTAAAGGTGCACCGTGTAACATTTCTAGCGGAGGGTCTGCTACTTGTTTGTCTCGATGGAAATGCTGTTGCCTCGTCTAGAATGTTCCACAGTATTGATTAAACCTGTGTGTGGAGAGTCGCTCCTATTCACAGAAGGAATAATTGTATTTTTGAGCAATAGAAACACCTAATAAATGAATAAATAATAAATGAATAAATGCAAGATAAATTTGTTTAAAGTCATACCCTTTGTCTGAAATGGTCTACAATTTTACGTTTCATCCCCATGGAGAAAAGCACCAAAAGCAGCCTTGCCTAACCAGTTTTCTGTGGGAAACACTGATTACTGTTTTTCATTATTTAAAACTTGAGTAATACTAACTGTTCAGAGAGACACGATCACTCAGTTAACAATAAATTATCCTCATTAATTTTCAATAATGTTCACAAATTTATTTTGTGATTTACAAATAATGTCATAAAAACTTGAGTCGTGAAGATATGTGACTTTTAAAATATGAGTAACCAGAAAAAAGTTTGGGAAACACTGTTTTTGAGTAGGTGGCTTGCCCTTTCCAGGTGGGTGGAGAGTCCCTGCCTCAAGTGGAGGAGTTCAAGTATCTCGAAGTCTTGTTCATGAGTAAGGGGAGGATGGAGCGTGAGATTGACAGGTGGATCGGTGCAACGTCTGCAGTGATGCAGTCGCTGTATCACTGTTGTGGTGAAAAGGGAGCTGAGCTGAAAGGCAAAGCTCTTGATTTTCCAGTCAGTCTATGTTTCTACTCTCACCTGTGGTCATAAGCTCTGGGTAATGACCGAAAGGACAAGATCGCGGATACAAGCAGTCGAAATGAATTTCCTCCGCAGGGTGGCTGGGCGCTCCCTTAGAGATAGGGTGAGGAGCTCGGTCACATGGGAGGAGCTTGGAGTAGAGCTGCTGCTCCTCCACGTCGAGAGGAGCCAGCTGAGGTGGCTCGGGCATCTGTTCCAGGTGCCTCCTGGGCACCTCCCTCGAGAGGTGTTCCAGGCATGTTCCACCGGAAGGAGGCCCCGGGGAAGATCCACGACACACTGGAGGCACTATGTCTCTCAGCTGGCCTGAGAACACCTCGGGGTGTTTGGGGTGAAGGAAGTCTGGGAGTCCCTGCTTAGACTGATGCCCCCATGACCTGGTCCCAGATAAGTGGAAGAAAATGGATGGATGGATGTTTTTGAGCAATAAAAACCTCTGTAGTTGAATAAATGCACAATGGTTAAGTTCAAAGCAATAACCTCTCCATGGAGTCAAGCAGGTGACAAACCCTCTAAATGTTACACAGTGTACCTTTATGCATGTGACAAGTTTCCTTTTTTTTTTTCTTCTAATTGTTACTTCAGTTATAGTAGTAGGTTTGCGAAGGCAAGTTAAAAGGACCATATTACACTTTTCTGATCTGTTCGAATGTTGTTTCCTCATCAAAACATCCCTGGAATTGTGTTTTGCTTCAATCATGTTTAACAAACTAAATCCTACATATTTAGGCCAAGTCCTTCTCTCAAACAAAAAACACTCTGTACAACCTTGTGATATAATTTAGTAATACAGGAAGTGCTCCACTGTGTTTTCAAACTCTATACATCTTCACTAGAATCATTTGGATAATTTCAGAACTGGAATTTCCAAACTCTAAAGGTAAAAGGTAACTGTTAACTTAGGGTGACCAAAATCAAAAAGTGGGACATCCCTGGTTTGGAGTGGTAATTGAAGTGCGTAATTAAGAAAAAATTTTCTGCACTCAGTTCATTCATGACTTATTCAGAACTAACATGAGTCAGTATAGTCACATTTTCTTTGTGTTTTGGTCATTTTTAAGCAGATTTTCTGAATTTTACCTAAACAAATGTCTCTCTTTACTGTTGGCAGGGATCAGATTGGTCAGAAATATGGACACCTGGGACATTTCTTGTATAAAACTGGGAAAAATAGCTGGTTTTGGATAAATCTGCTGGGACAGGGGAAACAGGGCTCAAAACTGGGACTGTCTTGGTAAATAGGGACGTCTGGTCACCCTGCGTTAACTTCAAAACTACCACTGCATGACATCATAAGTTGGAACAGAGATGTGGGCAGACGAATAATAAAGGATTACGCAAACAAAACACAACTCCAGGTATGTTCTTGACGAGGTAACAACATTCTAACATGGCTGAAAGCTCCCGAGAGTAATTTTAGTTCTATTTGTGCATTAGGATTGTTGTTGCGCTACATGCTCAGAATATGCTTCTGCTCTGCGTTCCCTTTAGGCGTCTCGTGTCCCGGATCTGTGTCACTGGTTAAAGATTTAAAAGCACAGACGCTCGCTGCCTTCTGCTGAGGAGACAGCACCAGACGGATGCTATCTACACACTAGAAGTCTGACTGTCAACACGCTCTCAGGTCAGACTCTCTCTCGTCTCATGTTCTAATTCTGGCTCATGTACCGCAAATGTAATGACTACACACTTCCTCTTTAATATCACATATAGATGAAGCCACATGTGTTTACAAGATGAATGCCCATTTATGGAAGCAATTTATATTACTATAGAGGGAGTGAGTTGGTTGGGTGATATAGATAGTAAGTGCATGATCACTGGTTCAAGTAAATGTAAATGTTTATAGCCTATGCTGTTAAAAGAGGAACTGCAATCATATGAACCTGGGTTGCAACCCTGCATATGGAGAACACATTTAAGTATTTATTATATCTCAGTGTATGAACTGGCCTCATGTGAAAGCTCAGAACTTCAGATCAGAGAGAGTTCTTTTAGATTTAAACATGGCTGGATTCACTTCGTATTAAGATACAGTTCTCAAGATCAGGCTTTGACAAATTAGCACGGTCCAAAATCCATCCATCCATTCATTTTCTTCAGCTTATCTGGGGCTGGGATGCAGGAGCAGCACTTTGAGCAGGGACTCCCAGACTTCCTTCATCCCAGACATTTCCTCCAGCTCCTCCAGGGGGACTCTGAGGCGTTCCCAGGCCAGCCGAGAGACATAGTCCCTCCAGCGTGTCCTGGGTCTTCCCGGGGGCCTCCTTCTGGTGGGACATGCCCGGAACACCTCCCGAGGGTGGCACCCAGGAGGCATCCGGAACAGATGCCCAAGCCACCTCAACTGGCTCCTGTTGACATGGAGGAGCAACAACTCTACTCCGAGCTCCTCCTCTCTGACCGAGCTTCCCACTCTATCTCTAAGGGAGCGCCCAGTCAGCCTGTGGAGGAAACTCATTTTGACTGATTGCATCCATGATCTCCTCCTTTCGGTCATTACCCAGACCTCATGACCATAGGTGAGGGTAGGAACATAGATTGAGCGGTAAATCAAGAGCTTTGCCTTTTGGCTCAGCTCCTTCTTCACCACAACGACCGCATCACTCTTAAATACATTGGAATATAAGCATGTTCTTTGTAAGTAATTTCCAAATGAAATTGATCTGTAAAAAAGAATAGACTAGACTATTTTAGACTAGACTGGAATACACCAAAACAGTTATTTTCTCCACATGAATTTATTTACAATTATCAGCTTGTTTCCTCATGTCAAACTTTACTGTAACAGAAACCTCATTGCCTTTCACTCCACGATGAAAACTCTCAAACTCTTCTATAAAACATAAAACTTTCTTCTATACATTTGTACTAAAAGATACTTCTGATTTTCCTTTTTACATCTTTGTACACTCCTCTTTAGTTTTCCCAAAGTTTTTCAAAGAGTCCAAAAGCTCATTTTGCCTTTGTCTGTTCCCCTCATCACCAGCAGGAGTATGAGAAGAGAGGGTGCTGGCTCCAGTCGACCGTGTTGCTGTAGGGGTATGGGTGGGGGTATGGGTGCTGTGGGGCTGGGTACTCTGCTGTGGAGAGGGGGTGGACTGGCGGCTGCTCGTTGGAGGGTTCCACTTCACTGGTGGGGTAAGGGTATCGGCCATATTCCACAGATCTGTAAAATAATGGGAAAATCTGATTAGACAACTCTGATTTGATTTTATATTTCTTCTTTATTATTAATAATTTTTTTTTGTATTTTTAAAAGATTTGCTTTGGCTATTTTGCACAATAGTAAAATATAAAGTATGATACAAATAAAAGTCATGAAGATACTAAGGTGCTGAATTAAAAAAAACAAAAGTATAATTAGTATTTTACTAATGTTACTTCACTTGTGGAAATTTGAATTTTAATTACAAATTTGGGTTTTAATTGAAATTCACAATTATTTGAATACATTTTCTTCCTATTAAAAGTAGCCTATAGAGCATTGTTTCCCAAAGACCGGGTCGTGACCCTCAGGTGGGTTGCAAGAAGGTTTTTTTTGGTCACCTTGTTACGATCTGCATGTAGGTTGGAATGTTAAGACATGTTTTGTATAATTTCTAATCTTTTTGCAATTAAAACATTTAATGTCCAAATAGGCAACTTGTGGATTCTTTTATTACTGGTTCAGTGACTGTTTTTTAATTGTTTAAAACTTGAGTAATACTAATTGTTCAGAGACACAATCACTCAGTCAACAATAAAATATCCTCATTAATGTTCAATAATGGTCAAATCCATCTTTATTTTGTGATTTATGAATAATGTCTATTGATTTGGGTCGTGAAAGTTTGTGACTTTTAAAATATAGGTTCCCAGAAAAAAAGTTTGGGAAACAGTGTTATAGAGGGACAATAGTAAGTAGTACTAAGTAGTTAGTAGACTAAAGCTGTAGATTTGCTGAGTGGCTTGGTTCCACAGTAGGGTTGAAGTATCGAAAATCAGATGCTAATTGATACCAAAACTAGTATCGAAACTAGGTCAGGTATGGATATTAAAGGTCCACATTCCCGGGACAGAAATGAACCTTTCCCGAATAGCTTTAGAACTACACTACTTACTAATTACTACTTACTTACTGTAGCTACTTATTATACTGTCTGTCCAGCTCTATTTATTTTTAAATACATATTTCCTGTGCTGGTTCTTACCTGTATGAGTTGTATGGCAGGGACGCAGGCACCATCTGCTCCTCACAGCTGTAGTCGTACTCCAGGTCAAGAGGCTCTGCGTGGAGCCTGTCCGATGAGTCCTGCTCCAGGGGCCAAGCTGAGAGGTGGGGGCCCTTCTGAGGCTGCTCGGTGGAGGTGAGGGGCTTCTCTGTGTGGGATGGCATCCTCTTCAGGCCTGGGGAAGAAATGACAACTGTTAGAACACTAGGTAGACTCATGCATGCTGGTCTAGGAGTATGTACTGATTTAAATGGAATGTCTTGATGGTTGAGGTACTTACTTTGTGGGCTTTCAGGGGCAGGTTTTGTTGCTCTTTTAGCTGAAGGACTTCCAGATGTGCGGCATCTAGAAAAGTAAAAAGAAACCATGAGAAGAATGTTCAAAATAAAGTGCTTAAATGTATGAATTAGAGTTTAAATGTGAATGACAGATTTTTATTGCAGTATCACTTTTATTACTTTGTGCCATTATGAAAAGGAATGCACCAATACTGATACTGGTATTGAATATCGGTGCAGATCCAGGAAAATTAGCTGTATTTGGATATGGGTTCAGCTGATATGGGCCTTTTATTGGATGTAATAAGACTATTTACTGGGCCTGGAATGTTTCATAATATTTGAACTTTTATTCATACAAAGCTTGCTGGATACAACACAATTAGATCAATTTTGTAGTAATTTATCTGTGTTTTGATGGAAATAAAATCACATTTTCAATCCCTATGCTAGTTCTAGCTCTTCACAACATTCAGTTGTATCTATTTTTGTATACTCTGTCCATCTCAGTTTCTACTCATACTTCACCAATGAGCAAAGCACACTACATTCTTTATCATTTCAACAGCAAAGGAGAAATTCAATTTGTCGACTGGACAAATATTCTTTGGTCGAATATGTTTCACAGCTTATCCAAGCTGCTTCTTCAGTTCTGGTCAGAATGCTGGTGGACACTTCCTTATATCTGTCTGCAGGCAGGGGTTAAATAAATGTTTTTGACCAAACAACTTTTGTCCTGTCGACAAACTGAATTTCTCCTTTGCCATGGATTCTACATAACCAGGCTGGTGCCTCTGATCAATTTCATTTCTCTCCAGCGACTAGGTCAGAATTCGGAATACACTAGACAGTTCACAATAACCCTGGGAGTGCGAGTTTGGGCACCAGCCAATCAGAGATGAGCCATACATTCTGTGTTGGCAATAATTTCCCGAGATCGAAGATTTAAAGCCGGAACAAAGAGAATTTTTGGAGAATTTTATCAAGGGGAAAGACGTTACTGCCATTCTACGGGAAAAGCTTAATATACCAGTTAGCCCCATTAGCGGCACATTACATACATCACGACCAAATAGCAACGATTGGTTCAATTAAAAAAAGTATCCGCCTACGCTGTGAGATCAGACAGTTTCTATGAAGTGAAACCATCTGATGAATCAGACTAGATTCTACTTGGACGACTGAGGGATTTTTCACTTATCATTTCCATGTTCTTCGCCCAGTCCTTACCTCTTGTGTGAATGCGTGCCTCCTTCTCTGAACCCTTTGGCAAACGGGTTGTGGTCTATCTTGAGTTTGGTGATCTTGGGGTTCTGGTAGGCCGTGACCGCTGTGAACGTCGTCTCTGGGAAGGAGAAGGTCTGAAAGGGCCCCCATCTCACCGTGTACAGACTGTCAGCTTGGACCACATGGAAGCGTGGGTAGTAGCGATGCATGGAGTGGAGAATGATCTAAAAGGTGAAAAAATGTATATTACCAACACGCAATACAGGCAACACATCTTGGGTGTGAAAATGTTGCTTACATGTCCGTGCTGATCCAGAGTGTTGTTTGTCAGTTTCAGTTTGAGAAAGGACAGAGATTGCTTCATCCAGTGGCTTCCTGGAGCGGGGGAGTCTGGGTGCACGTAGGTCCTGCAGGGGGGCTGGGGCTCGGCTTTTCCGGCGACTTCCCACTGCTCCTTCTTCCACTGTGGATATAAATGGAAATGGTTGGTTAGATCACAGTACAATAATATAGTATACTTAAAGTGCATGTGACCAATTTTCATGTTTTTGCTTAATTTGGTAGGATAGTACCTGTGCATATTTATCATAGTGTACCGGAAAAGCTTGGCCAAAATTTAAGATATAAACACTTACGTCTATCAGAAAATGACTCAAAAGTAGTGAAATTATCTGTCCATGTAACAAGATAATTTTACTTGACAAGTTGACTTAAAATAAACTAGAATAACTCTAGACTAGAATGAATCAGTCTCAGAACTAGTAAATAGATAATAAATCTGAAAACAAGATATAAGTTTTTAAATCTTGGGCAGATCAGAGAAATTTGCAATTTGCAGTGATGGATGAAGTACTCAATTTTGTTACTTAAATAAAAGTACAGCTACATTGAGCAAAAGGTTATTCAAGTAAAAGTACTACATCACAAAATAAGTAAAAGTATTAAAGCATTGTAAAAATTTAAAGTGTGTATCAAAGGATAAAGAATTTTGCAGATTTTAAGTGTTTCAACTGATTTCTTTTTCTAGCTGTTTTTGTGTATTTGGTTTGCTCAAATTTCGGGAATGAAATGTGCTGAAAAACAAAAACCATAATGACATCAAAAAGAAAAGTACTTTTAACTTTTCAGTCCAGCTTTAAAATGTAGTAGAGTAGAAAGTACAGCTACATCGACTCAAATGTGGACTTAGACTCACTTAGACAAACTTTATTGATCCACAAGAGAAATTATTTGCCCACAGTAGTGAAGTAAACGTAAAAAAGTATCCACTGTAAAATTGTAAGTAAAGTACAGATACCTAAAAATTCTACTTAAGTATTGCACTTTTACTTTTGTACTTCGTGGTTTGCGAAGAAAAGAAACTAAAAAATACAGGAAGTAGCGCTGAGTTCTAAATCAGAATATTTCCATTTACGTCACCAACACTGAAAATTCCATCCACAATGCACAGATTAGAGATTTATCTATCAGTTTAAAAATGAATTTGCAAAAGAAAGCCTTTTTTGTCTAATCAAAACTATTGTGTAAATAAATGTGTTAAGAGGTAACGGCTAGAGAATTGCCTGTACTACCTCATATCTGCTGATCATGTCCAACCAGGAAGTAAAATTATAAACTTCCCCAAAATTCTAAAAAGAGCAAAACCAGTCATATGCACTTTTAGTAATACTTTGATACATAGTTTGCCTAGGGTGACCCGAGACAGTCCCAGTTTTGAGTCCTGTGTCCCCTGTCCCAGCAGATTTATCCAAAACGAGTAATTTGTCCCAGTTTTATACAAGAAATGCTCCAAAGTTTCCTTATTTTTGACCTAAACCAGGACTAAACTAAGATTAAACTAGGACTACATCAACTCTGAACCAAAACTATCACAATTTTTTGACTGATATGACCCCTGCCAACAGTGAAGAGGAGCATAAATTGTTATTTGGTTAGTCAAAATACAGAAAAACGTGTTCGTGAATGAGCATAAAGCAAAAAAAAAAAGAAGCCTTATCTGAAGTCTTTCAGATTATGACTGACACAAGAATCCACAATGTTACACTTTCTATTCACAGTTTTATACATACCAACCATTCCAGCCAAGGTGTGTCCCCGTTTAGAATTTTGAAAGTCTGGTCACCCTGAAACTGGCATTGCAGTTACGTGATCTGGATCACCCTATTTCCATTCACTGTATGGCTGCATTGTTATCGAGTGCATGCTAAAAGCTCTGACCAAATGGGCCGTTTGAATGCATGGACGGCTGGCTGCTCGTGGTTTAATGATTGCAAATGAGCGGGGATGCTAATTTAGATGCTAATTGATTGGGCCCCCAGCCGAGAGTTCACAAACAGGAAGTAGAGAAGGGCTTTGAAATGTGGCCCCCTGCTGACCAGACTGGACTAACCAGTGTCTGGCTACTGTCTGTTGGTTTAGAGCCCTGCGTCGTGAATAAGCAAGACAAACAGAACTGGCAATGAGTTTGAATTAGCTTACACTGTAAAAACTTTGACCAAAATTTAAGATCTAAACACTTAAATCTATCAGAAAATGACTTAAAGTAGCAGAATTATCCGTCCATGCAGCAAGGACAAGTTCTCTTAAAATAAACTACCTCTAAGCTAGAATTAAACAGCCTCTGAACTAGTAAGTACATAATAAATCTGAAAACAAGACAAATAACCTGATATAAATGTTAAAATCTTGGCCAGATCAGAGAAATTTGCGGTGTACCTTGTATTTGTATCCATCCACGGGAATCATATCCATCATGATGACATAGTTGGCAAAGGACTGGAGGCCGGAGAGGCTGACGCTGCAGTGAGGGAACATTCTCCTAAACAGAAAAAAGAAAAATGTTAGAAATCTGTACAGTTGGAGATGAAGATGTAAGTAAGTGTTGTAGAAGGTGAAGATGTTAGAATTTCAAATAAAGAGCAAGGGCCATTATAACTCTATGGGAGATTTACTTAAAAGTCATTACCATGCAAAAAACAATAATAAAAGTAAGTTGAAATGACTTTAATTTTAAAACATTTTTACAATTACAACAGTAATTTAAATTTAACAAGTGAAATGATCTACCAATAGAATAAGTTAACATTTTTTTCATTTTAAGTGCAAGGAGTTTTTTTTTTTAAGTAATAGGTATATAACAATAACCAAAATATCGTAATATCGTATCATCAAAGGTCTCACAATAACATCGTGGACCATCACAATATATCGAATTACAAGTCTCTTGATTTAAATGAAGAGTTATAGTGCAGCAATAGTTAAAAAAGATAGAGGGAACTACATAGGCCATGATCCTTTGCTCCATTTCAATGTAGACTAAAAGAAGAAATAACAGTTCTAAACACTTTTAAGTCTCAGTTCTTTGGATTAAGTCTTGTCAAGGCATTTTAAGAGGAAAAAGTTGCCTCCACAAAATATCACAATAAATATTTGTACCGTGAGATGTATATTGTGAAAATATCGTACCGAGAGATTTGGATATTGTTACATCCCTAATCGTGAGCCTCCCCACCATATCATGAGCTTTCCCATGATATCGCAATAAATATCGTACCGTGAGGTTCATACTGTGACGATATCGTATCATTAGACTTGGATATCGTTACACCCCTAGTTGCAGATGTAAATAAATGTTGTAGAACGTGATGATAGAATTTCAGATAAAGAGAGAAGGCCATTATAACTCTATGGGAGACTTACTGAAAATTCATTACAGTGCAGATAGTAATAATAAAAGTAAGTTTAAATGAGTTATATTTAAAACATTTTACTTTATTTAAGTACATCCAACTTAACAAGTTAAATGATCTACCAGTAGAATAGTTTTGTTTTTTTTATTCAAGCAGCATTTTTTTTCATTTTACGTACAAGGAGTTGTTATTTTTCTTATCTTAAGTGTACAGATGTATTTTCATATAAGTAAGTAAGTTCCATTGGTAGATCATTTTACTTTAATTTCTTAATTGAAGTAACCCCAACTAGTTTTTGCAGTGTATACTTGTTAGGGATTGGCCCCACAAACTTGCCATGTTAATCGTATGGGGTAAAGTCCTTTCAGTTTACAGATAGCACTAGTTTCATGCTGTTTTTGTTTCATGTGAATATAGGCCCAGAAACTACAGGCTAATCTGCAATCTGAGAGCAAATTCCACCATAGAATTATTGTTATTATTATCATTTTTCTAATACAATACCTTCCGTGTTTGGTGATAATCATCTCAGTTCCGATGTTATGAAACGACTTCCATAGATCAGAATTCTCCAAGTTCATTCGGACGCTGCTGTGCTGGAAGGCCTCACCGGTTGAAGAGTTCCTTGGCAAGCTCATATTAGGCACAGAATCTATATATAAAAAAAAAGTTGGTAGTTAGATTACCCAAAACTATGACCATTTTAAAGCATTTTTTGTATTTACTGAAACTTACCAGTAGCATGCATGTTCCACGTGTCCAAAACAACTTGTGGTAGAGCTTTAGACGTACTGCTATCAGAATCAAAAGAGAACTGTGAAATATTGCTTAGACCCCTGACCTTAAAAAGACCCCAATCTTGAACGTGATTGGCCGTCGCAGTGAGGAGGGGGCGGGTCTAAGTCACTAGGGGGGCAGGTAGTCATCCAGACAGACACAGGAGCCCAGGTGAGAAGTTACCTGATGGCTGGCCTTTGTAGTGTTTTGTTCCACGTGGAGTCTACAAACTGCAGAGTGTGGATTGTGTGTAGATTTGAGCTCTTTACATACAGACAACTGAAAAAAAACAGGTTTTATCTCACATTGGTGCTCTACAGTGGGAATAGTTTCAACACGTTTTGCACATAATGTAGACAGATTTTAAAGCACTTCCTTTTACAGGGTGCCCCAAAAAGTCATTTTAAAAGCAATTATCTTGAAAACTAATAAGTCTAGCGCAAACAAATTGAACAGTTTATTATGAGACTTTGTTGCCAGTTGGTAAAGTTTTTCCAAATTTTGCATTGAAGTCACGCTGCACAGTCTTGGGTGACTGTGTACGAGCATGTTCCAAGACGCAAAATAACTTTTTTTGGGGAGTGAACATGGCTCAACCTGAAAACAGAACAAAAATAAAAGATTAAATATAAAATCTTAATCTGTTTCTATACATTTGATGAAAGTTTGAGGTTATTTCAACAAAAACTGGCAAACGAAATGATGTTTTTTTTCTACTACTACCAGAAAAGAATTATAAACTTAGTGCGAAATCAAATGACATACTGTGGAACATTCTTGGCAAAGCGTTAACTTCTTCGTAGAGATAAGCAGGTGGTGAACTGTCAGCATGAAAGGTTACGCAATGCACTTTTAAGTACTTCATAAAATAACTTCTTTTCTACTGAATAACCATAAAATGATCATGTAGCCTATATATGGAACCAGAACTAGAACCAAACCAGCACTCAACCTGAAAACACAACAAAAATAAAACATGAAATACAAATCTTAATCTGTTTCTATACATTCCTTGAAAATTTGAGGTTATTTCAACAAGAATTGCCCAAATTATTGACCTGCGAAATGATATCAAATGTTTTTGGGACACCCTGTATATTAAAGTTATTCCATGTAACACTGCTTTGTGAAATCATGCATAAATGGCTGACCAGCAATAGTTACACATGTTTCTCATGTTTATCTGGACGCAATTGTAATGACTTCAAGTTTAAAAAGAAAGTGAAATGGAATAGGATTTGAATATAATGTGCCGTTTCTTATGTTGTAATTCAAAACTTTCATAGCATTAAAACAAGAAAATAATTGTGAAGAAACTATTAGACAGATGTATTTGCCTCAGAAGTATGGGCTACTGTATCACTTTGCAAAATGTGTCAGAATTCACAGGATAACAAATTATGCACTAGACTTAGCAGGCTTACAATTGGAGTATTGATGGAGCCATTAAATGAGTGTATAGGCAGTAACTTATCTGTAACAAATGTTGTCGTCTTCTTTGTTAGACTTGTGAAAATCCCAGACTCCACACATGTACAGTAGAGCAGTTATTTTCATGTTTTGTCTGATCCTGCATTAAAAAAAAACTCATTTTATTTTCAAAAATACACAAACCAAATAGAAATATGACTAAAATAAAGCAAATCATATCGTTGACTTAAATTCACTAACTATTTTATGGCATTTTGATTTAATAATTCTGCTATTTATGTTGTCTTTTGGCATGTGTATTAGAGTCTGTGTGACAAAGGTGGGACCAAGTTGTCATTTTGCAAGTCTCGAGTAAGTCTCAAGTCTCTGACCTCAAGTCCGAGTCAAGTCCCAAGTCAAATACAGGCAAGTCCAAGTCGAATCTTGAGTCACTGGCCCATAAGTCCAAGTCAAGTCCAAGTTGTCTGGTTTGAGCTTCAAGTCATTTCAAGTCTTCAACCCAAAGTACCAAATATAGCTTAGATTTTTGCAATTTATATGAATTTTAAATTGTACTTAAAAAGTCATGAGTAGTTGTATAAGAGTTGTAGAAATGCTATTTTTCCCCTTTTTTAAATTAAGATTTAAAAGTGCTTAATAACAGTTATTTTGTCATGTAGAAATGGAAGGATCATGTTCTATCCCGTTCCCTCTGTCTGCTTTGAGCTTCAAGTCATTTCAAGTCTTTAAACCAAAGTACCAAATATAGCTTAGATTTTTGCAATTTTAAGATAAATTGTACTTATAAAGTCACAGTATATTTATATATGAGTATTTATAGAGTCTATAAGAGTTGTAGAATTTAGTTTTTTCCTTTTTAAATGTCTTGACAAGATCTTAGAGTGAATCATTATGGACAGCATAAAACAAATTCAGATTTAAAAGTGCTTCTCAAGTCACAGGCCTCAAGTCCAAGTCAAGTCCCAAGTCTTAGTCCATTTCATCAAGTCAAGTCTCAAGTCCTAAAAATAGTGACTCAAATCTGACTGGAGTTCAAGTCACGACTTGCAAGTCCCCACCTCTGCTGTGTGATAATGAGGTATAAAATAATCAATAGTTATTTTAATAGTATTTTAATGGTTGCAGCACTATGGGTTTCCTCACATAGTCCAGAGGCTATCTTAAAACAAATGGGGACAGCGAAAATGAATATTGTTAAAATGAAGAGTTCTGTTGCATTATGGTGAATTCTTGACTCTAGCCACTAAAACAAATGATCAGGTTCAACATTTGTGCTTTTACATTTTGAATATTTGCTATGAAAATACCATAAACAAATTCTAGATTCTAAAAATGACCAAGTGGAAACTCAAAACATTCAAAAACAGCATCAATAATGAAACAGGAACACAACATTGAACCCAAGTTGAAGTCCAGTAGCAGAGGAGCCTGGGGCCAGACACAAACTCTCTCTTTCCTGACCGCAGATGTGTATTCAGACCACATCAGACCAGATTAGGAGCCTCATTTGAGTCTGGGCCTTTCTCCGACAATACCCCACAATAGGGCTAATCTGGAGAAACCATTTGGCAGCCGCCCCTCCCCTCCCCACCTCCCCTCCTCTACCTGGGCATAGAGGGCGCTGTGAGGGGCCAGGGCCGTTACAGTGAAAGGGAATGGAGGAGGGGGGACAGACTTCAAATCTAACAGTCTCATGAATATCAGAGACAAAGCCAGTGGTTGTCTAACTGCAGTGTTTTCTTTTCAAAACAACACCAGGCCGGGGCCATGCTGGGCACCAGACACTGCCATTTCTCTGAACTCTGCTTTGTGTACTGGGCAAACAGCACGGCCATGTCTGCTGTCCATGGACTAGAGCAAGAGTAGATCACAGAAGTAAAGTTATGGTTGATTTAAATACTCAGCAAGTACGCCTACATCATAGCAAGAACACGACTTAAAGGTCCTATATTACACAACTGTGATGAGCTTTAAGCCATGTTAGAATGCTGCTACCTCATCAGAAACATACCTGGAGTTGTGTTGTTTTAGTCACACATGTTTGAGTAATCCTGCAGTATTATTCTGTCTACATTTCCAAAGCTGATGTCATGTAGTGGTAGTTCTAAAGTTAAAGAGCTACCTTTTATCTGTTGTTTAGGATTGGAAATTATCCAAATGATTCTGTTGACTTTTAAAAATTCTATCCAGAGTATTTTACAGGATAATTGCTCGTGTTTTTAACACTTTTATAGCTTTAATCTGCAATTGTTTCACTGTCTTATATCTCTATTCACTGTTCTGTTTTATACTGCCTCTTGGCCAGGTCGTCAACTGACTTACCTGGTAAAATATTGAATAAATAAAATTCTAGTGAAGGTGTGTGGGATTTTATTATTATTTATTATTATTTATTTAAAGGCTAACTACGTAACTTTTCAGGTGAAGGATCCAGCACCTTCTTGTTAATTAATAAATTAATTAATTATTGCTTTTATATATCGTCTTTAAAGACACCCAAAGTGCTTTACGGTTCATTATTCATTCACTCAACAGTCAGTGGTGGTAAGATACTATTGTAGCCACAGCTGCCTTGGGGAAGAGAGGCTGCCAATCTGCTCCAATGGCCCCTCCAACCTCCACCAACACTCACTCACACACCACGATGTTATGTTATTGCTTTGCCTGAAACACATTTTAAAATGACAAAAATACAGAAAAACATGAACCATTCAGCATAGAGCACACACACCACGTCCAAACAGCCCCCACAGTGGAGTGTTTTAAGTCTCGTCTTATAACCCACTTTTACTCTCTGGCTTTTAACACCACGTGAGCTGTGTGGTCCTCTGTGTCTTTTATTTATTGTATTTATTTCGTATGTATTTTATTTATTTATTGCTATTCTATGATTTTACTCTTATTTTATTTGACTGGTTTTATTATTTTAAAACTAGTATGATTAAATCTGAGTGTTTATTTTATCATTTCATTATTGTTGTTATTATTATGTATTTGTGCAGCTCTTTGGAAACTGTTTGTGAAATGTGCTATAGAAACAAAGTGGATTGGATTGGATATTTAAGGAAGTACTTTTTGTAAATGGGACACGCCTGAAGCAGTCCTGAGCCTACATGCCCATAGCATTTATTTTTAATACTGATGCAAAACATTACTGCCACCTATGTAATTCATTAAAACGAACTCTTACTACTACTAGAAAAAAAAAAAAAAAGATATAAACTTAGTGCCAAGTCAAACGCCATAATGAGGAACACTCCTGGCAAAGCAATAACTTCTCTCTCTCTCTCTCTCTCATTATAAAAGGTTACGCAATGCACCTTTAAGTACTTTATGAAATAACTTCTTTTCAATTACATAACCATAAAATGATCATGTAGCCTATATATGAAGCACTGTAAATGGAGTACACACACCAGATCTAAACCTGGACTAAACTAGCACCAAACCAGCACTAACATGAAGATAACCCAAGTAATACACTTCTTACTAATTTCCCAAGAATGTATGTACTATATTTCACAATGTATTCACCTGACT